TACTGTCAAAATTTTTGAATAAAAATAATTAAATCCTTGATAGTTCATTTATAATGTTAGTAAATACTAACTTTTCTTTAGCTAGTTTTTATAATTTAGTAAATGTAACTTAATTAGATTTTAATGAAGATTCTTTGAGTGAATCATAATTGATAATGTAACTTCTTAAAACATTCTCAACAAGGGAACTTTATAATAAATACTCATTGTAAAAATAGGCTACATACTATACCATCATTATTATACTAACAATTGATCCTACTTATGCTAATAGTTCACCAAGTTTAGGATAAACTATTTAAGTATCATAAGAGAATGGATCTAATCTTATTGTAAATGCTAAAAATGTTTCCATATGAATAAATTTGTAAAATAAGTCACTAGAGATAGTACTCATTAAAAATTGAGCATCAAATATATAACTTTATTCTTCAAAGTCTCCAAATAAGATTCCTGTATCAACGATAGTTTTTTATTGTTTCAAAATTAATTATATTTATTATGCTCTTTCTTTTTCAAATGATAAATAATATTATTTTTTTACTACATCAAAAATTTAATTTTTTGGATTAAAATACTTAGTATTAATCCAAAAATTTAAGACCTTACTTTATTAAATAAAGAAATTTTCAATTTCATCATCATTTGCACAAGTTTAATTTTCAGATAACAAATATTTATTACATTTAGTAATAACAATAAGCAATTCTTTTGTTTAGTTAAATAAAGGATTAAAATCACTATTCTAAATTATGTTCAAGTTTTCGACATAAATTAAATTACTTTTGTAGGTTGATAGTGTTGAAGAATTACTTAACAAAGAAAAGGGCTTTTAAGGAATTCCAGCAATTATATAAATTCCAATTGGCATTAAAATATTATCAGTAGTTCTAAATGGATCAATTACATCATCTTAGTACTTCCAATAACATAATTCAAAAAGATGCTCATTACTAAATAATATAGATGAATAATTTTCAGCCTTTATCGTATTTGTCGATTTTGGTAGGATATTAGAATTCTTCCATTAATCCATTATATATATAAAATACCAAGACTCACAAGTGTTACAATAATTAATAATACTCCTCCTAAAACTGATTTTTAAACTTTTTCTTGAAAATGTATTTCTTGTTTAAATTAAACTCCAAAAATATCAGCCATTTTAATATACTTCATTTTATTTTAGTTTTATATTAAATTTACAAAAATGATGATTTATAATACACTGAGATTAAATAGCATATTATTGATTACAATAAGCCAAATTAAATTCAATAGCTATAATTTTCATTAATTATTTAATATATTTCGTCTAAAAAATCAAACTTATGAATGTTGGCGAAATATAGCAAAAAATCTAACATACTTTCTTGATTAATAGTTAATTAATTAGGTTGCAAAATAAAGATAATATTAATTTGTAGAGATGAACTTGTTAAACATATATCTACAAAATTATGTATTTAAGTTTTTAAAACATTAAAAGTAAATAAATTCTTAGATATTGATATATCAATTAATTAATTTAAAGGATTACTTAAATCGTTTGAATTTTAAGACTCAAATGATGAAGAATAAAAAATATAGCCAGATCAATTCTAAAAATATGGTCAAAAATTCAATTTTCATATTTGAATCTTAAATCCTTTATTATTTAATTATTAATTCTTGCTCCTAATTTAATTACTTAAAAATCAAAAACAATTAAATTTCATTAAAGAATTTTAAATTCTTAATAATTAACCAATAATTTGAAAATTTTAATTATTAAGCAGTATTGAATTTAATATTACGTAAAAGTTTCAAATAAATATAAATTTATTAGTATTAAATAAAAATTAGACTTATTTTGTAAATTTAAATAGATTCGTAGAAATTTGAATTATTGATATTAACTAAAAAGTAGTCTAGTTTTAAATAAATATTATTATAAGATTAATCAGCCTGTAATTTTTTTATGTTATTTTATCATATTTTAGATTTCATCTAACACTTTAATTTTACTTTACTAAACTTATTTCTACTATATGACATAATCTTTAGTTTTTAATGCTTCTTTCTCTTCAAAAACTCTTTCACTTTCCATCAATTTGACTTTCTCTTCTAACTAAAATAATAAATAATAAAAAACTACATATTTTTATTCAGATTATAATGTTTTTTGGTTTTATTTAACTTTTAAATATTTATTCTTATATGCATTTGCTTATTCATCACTTGAGATAACTTGTTTTTTTAATTCTGAGATTAATTTTTTTTATTCTTATATTTCCTCTTTTGATTCATTTAATTAGCGAATCAAAGATTCAATTTTTTTTTCAATTTAAAATAAATCCTATAAGAATAATTAAATTAATTACATCTTCATGTTATTATTTTAAGTAAGCTATATCTTAATCAGATTGATATAATAGATATTATAGTTTCTTATTTTCTTAATGAAATTAATCAATATCATATAATATCTATTATTTTTCACTTTAATCTAATTAATATTAGATATCATATTGAGCTAATTTATCTTCATATGCTTAAACTAAAGACTTTTAAGATTCTAATTTTAATTTTAATTCTTTAACCTCTTAAACCTTAAAGTTTGCCTCTTTCAAAGATTAATCAGTCTTATTTCTTTAATCTTCTAGCTATGATTATAACCTTAAATAATCTTGTTTTGATTCTTATATAATTTTGTTAAAAGACAATTCTTCTTTTTACTATTGAGTAAGTTATTATTCTAATTATTGAATTTAAAGTATTAATGATTTGCTTTTTTCTTTTTTTCTATTAATTTATGAAAGATATTCATTTTATAACTATTGTTTTTATTATTCAATTTTATTAATATCTTATTGATGACGTTGGTCACTTAATTTAATGAACTTTTCAGCTTCATCAATTTTAGATTTTTAATTATCAATTGCTATTTATAATATTTTTTTTTCTTCCTATAATTCTTTAATCTTTGATTCCAATAATTGTATATTTTACCTATCATCTTGGGCTCCCATTTCAAAATATTTGCATTAATCATCTTTTTGTTATAAAGCTTATTTTAAAATGATATTTTCATCTTTGAGTATAAAGTATCTTCTATCATGTTCTTTTCTAAATCATCATTAGAAATGTTACATTTCATTTTGTAAGGAATCGCACATTTTTTACATTTTGTCCAATTCAATTTATAAAGTGGCTTTCTATTCATCTAATCTAGAATCAATGGTTTTAGAGGAATCCTTGAGTAACCTGATTTTAGTCTTTTTCTTTTACAATTTAATTTTTAATTCATTAAGTTATGTTTTTAGTTCTTCATTTCCTTTATTTTAAGACTCGATTCTATCTTTTTCATATTTAATAAGTAATTCTTCTTTCATTTATAATTGTCTTTCTTTATCTTTGGAATCTTAAATATACTCTTTTAGGGTGGCCTATTTTAAATAAGAGATAATTATACTTTTAATTTAGAATTTAGATCTTTAAGCTTATTATATTTTTCTCTTGAAACATAACCTGTTTAATTTTAAACAGTAAGATCTTTCCATCCATTAGGTGAAGTACTTATCAATTGATCGAAATCTCTTTTGCCTTAATTATTTCGATTCAAAAGATCATTGCTTGAACCTTAATTAGTTCTCATTTTTGAATTAATTTAATAACAGCCAGATGATGATTTAAAATTAAAAATTGAATTGTATGATCATAATTTATTAATGATTTTCAAACTACTTTTGGTGTATGTGAACCTTTAGCACATGTTGGTATTTTCATGAATTCATCCCAATCATATTTTTCAACCTTTTTTTATAAATTTAAAGAATACTTTACAACATGTCCAAAATTTCTTAAGATCATGGAAACAAGGTTCACCTGTGTGATAAAAACATTCAGTATTTTCCTTTGGATCATATTCTTTCAAACATCCTTTATTTGTACATTTATATTTTCCTCCTGGAGTAACAAAGATTTATTTTTATACTTAAGCTAAAATTCAAAGTTATATCAAAATAAAACCTTATTATTATTCTTGCAATTTTTTCTTTTCAGCTTCTTCTTTGTTATAATCATCTATTTTTCTTACAGGTTGAGGAGCATTGTTGGCAAAATTATCAATTCCTAATATTCTAGAAAATATATTTTTACCTTTTTAAGCATTTTAAACAGTCTTTGATTAATAAAATTCTCCACCTTCAGTAACTTCAACATTAGTATGTCTACCTAGAGCACATGGTTCAATTTTCATAAAATCATCCCAATCATATACAATTTTATTACAACATGTCCATCCTTTTTTGAGATCTGAGAAGATGGGTTTTCCAGGATGATGTTTGCATGATTAGTCATTATTTTCATTTTCATTATAAGGTTTTTTACAACCATTTCTTTTACATTTAGTTTCCATGAATAAATAATTAAAAATAGTATATTGTTTGTTTAAATAATTATTTATGATTTAATCTAGTCTTCATGATAGGTGTGTGTATGTAACTTAATATAAGTCTGAGACAACTCTAGAATAATTGAAATAAGCATTTTCTGAGTTCGGAAAGATTGAATAATTATAATAAAACGCTAAGTCAAATGGAGTATTCATAGTTTATGATAGTAATGAAGCAGGTATAAATGATTTTAATAAAAAAGTGAGAAGAGCAACATCAAAGACAGTAACAATAGGAGGTAAGAACTTAGATGTAAATGAATACTTGGATATGGATAAATTGGATGAAGAAGCAAATATATTTATTGATGGATTAAGTCCGACAACAACTTAATTGTATTTGAAAGAGAAATTAAGCAAATATGGAAAAATCTTGAATATAAAAGTTTAAATGTCTGATAAGGCAGGAGTAGCATACATATAATTTGAATAAAGAGGATCAGCAGAATAATGTATGGCAGATTAAGCAAATATAGGAATGCATATTACAAGGTAACATTAAATAATTATCAATTTTAGAGCAATAAAGAAAGGAAAATAATAATAAATTAAAAGAGATTAATTGTTTATATCTAATATTAAATCTTAATCTTCTTTAGATCAATTGAAACAATATTTAGATTAATATTTTTGTGAATATGGTAAAATTGAATCCATTTAAGTTAATGTGAATCCAAAGAATTAAACATACTTTGCATTTGTAAGATTTGAAAATTCAGAAGATGCTTATAAAGCTGTTAAATCAACTAAACCATTTTAAAATTAAACTGTTACAATCTAATGGGCTGTTAATTCTAATGATAATATAGAAGCTAATCTATATACTAAAAATCTTAAACCCACTGTTACTGAATAATAACTTAGAGAAGCATATGAATCTATTATTGTTTTAGATGATATTCAATTATTACCACCTAATAAATCATCTAAATTATCTGCTTATATTTATTTGAAATCTGCTGAAGATGGAAAAAAAGTTATTGATTTAGCATTCAAAACTAAAAAAATATTTGATTTATATGATAAATTTACTGTTTAAATCTCACCTATGTTAAGTCCAGCTGAAATTATTTAATTTAAAAAAATTCAATCCAAACCTAATTATTAATCATATCCTTAATAAACCATGCCATTCCCTCCTTATTAATAACCATTTTAAGCATATCCAAACTATTAAAATCCTCCATATGGTAATTATTAATAATAACCACCACCCTATTATAATTAACCAGGATATCCTCCATAATAACAACCATATTAATAAGGTGGATTCCCTTAATAATAAGGCAATTATCATTAACATAGACCAAAAAGAAATCCATATCCAAATCAATATCATAATTAACCAAGATAACCTAAGATACCTGATCTATAATACTTATTAAATTTAAAAGCTTAAGGAAATGACAGAAAAATTATTGATACTATTGGAGCTATATTATTTCCTATGGTTAATCAACAGGTTGAATCTAAATTAGTAATTATATATACTCTATATTTAAGGCACCTCAAGTGACAGGAATCTTATTAGATTTTGAAAATTATGGGTTGGAAGACTAATTAAAAATGCTTTAGAATCCAACTTATCTGAATGAGCAAATCAATTAAGCTGTAGATCTAATAAGAAAATCTTATTGAGTATATAAAATTAAATAAATACATATCAATATTTAAACCAATATCTATTAAGTTTTATCATAAATAATCTTTAAGGATGATTAAACAATTCTAAGATTATATTGATTCATTTTATAAATTAGTTATGTATTTCTTGAAATTTCATTAAAGAGAAGGAGAAAATTATTCAAATAAATGTATTTAATATTACTTTATTTTATAATTATAATGGAACTTGTTTTTATGTTAATTTTTAATTCAATTAAAATAATAATAGATTATAAAAATTTGGAGGTTAATTATTTTTGATTTATATTCATATCTTATTCCTTAAAAGTAATTAATCAATCAATCGAAATAATTAAATTCGTTGTTGGTTTGTTATATAGAATGGAAATAATAATGAAAGAAAGCAAAAATATGAAAAAATGTAAAAAATTAAAAAGGAAATATGACAAGTATTATTTAAATGTAAGTATTAAAAATAATATATATTTAAATTGATAAAAATTTATCGAGATGGGTATTGAACACACTATCTTTGGTTTATAAGGCCAAATGATTTATCCAATCTAAACTACTCGATAATATTGAAAAATTGAAGAAGAATTTGAATTTTAATCATTATCTAATAATAGCATCAAAACTTTCTAAACTAGGAGATCTAAAGTTTAATCCATTGTTTTCAAATTCAGCAGATAAAATTGCATATTTTTCTTGTAATAAAAAATATTCTTTGTTTAATTTAATAAACTTTTGTTTCCAAGAAGTTTCAGTTGGATGAATTTTGGATATATTTTACAAACTATTTTTTTTGGATTAGATATCCACATAAGTGTGAGAAAGTGTTAAACTATTCATTAATTAAGAGTTCTCTCTTAATAATGATAATACTTGTCTTTCTAATTCAGTATGATCATTTCCTTATGATTTTTTAAGATTTTCAATTTCTATAATTCTTTAACTAAAATGTGAAATTATATTCTTATACTTATATGATTCTAACAAGATTTAGACTTATGAAGTCAGGTCTTGAATTTATTTTTATATTTATTTCGATAGATTATTTTAACAAATATCTATAAATGATAAGAATAATATTGAAATTACTATCTTCTAATTATTGAATATGAGATTTCATCATAGAGATTTCTTAATCTTTAGCAAATATAATTTTTTTATATTGTGATTCTCTTTATTTGTATTAGTCAATTTATTTGTTAAATTCTTCATTTTTTTTTAAAGCACTTGAATTATCTATTCCTGAAGGAGTGGCAATTCTAATTAATCTTCTTGGAGTATAATTAATTGATGAATTAGAACGGGAGGTTGAAAGAGTATTATTATGCTGTTAAAACATTAAAATAAATTATCAAAATAACATATATTCTTCTATATACATAAGTAATTAATCTTCTTAATAAATTAGATATGCTCTACTTAAAACATCTTGTGTTGGTAGATTACTTGATTTTGGTAATTTAGTTTAACAAGCAATAAGGATTTGTCTTCTTTATGATATTTATTTATTTTATAGATTTTTACCGATAGCATTATGTTTATTAGTTTACATGATTTTATCATAATTGATTTTTGTCCATAAAGATCTAGCATATATAAGATTACCTTAAGTTTAATTGTTTAAAATAACTTCTCTTTAGATTTGAGCATCTGGAATGAATTATTTCCAATCATATAAATAATCATCATAAAATAATGAGGATTCTTTAAGAAGTTATGTTTAAACATTTTAAGCGAAATACAATTCTAAAAATTTAGTCATGGAACCATCATGAAATAAAATCAATCTTTGAATAGGAGTCAAACTAGTATCAAATTCATGATATTATTTCATTTTATAATATATATTTTTTATATTATGTATTGATTTCAATATCATAGATTTGCTGCAATACTTAGTTTATTACAAGTATCTTCTAATAAACTTAATAAATGTTCTTCTGATTATTCTCTTTAAATAATAAATATTTGAATTTACCTAGTTTTCTTTTCTTAATCTAATTCAACTTTGACTCTATTAACAATATCTTTAAGCATTTCAAATATTGATTATTCACTTTCATCTCTATTTCTTTTTTCAACATTGATAAGATTACTTAACTTTACTAACTCGTCAGTAATGGATTTCATAACCTATATATATTATTATAAATACTTACATTCTAATCAGATTCATCTCTTTCATTAGCCTCATTTCTTATGGCTTCTTATATTTTTGGTAAATCATTTTATAATCCTTAATGAATTCCTTCTATTGCATCTACTCTTCCTGCTGTTTCCTTTTATACTTCAGTTCTCAATAATGCTGTTTTATCTTCCAATAATCTTAAAACTTTTGTTTCTCCTTCTTTTCTTGTCTATGTTTCATTTTGAATAGCATTTTCAAATTTCTTTTCTAATGCTTATACTTCTCTATTTTTAGTCTCATTGGCTTATTCCTTTGCCAATTTATCTTCTTCTACTTATTTTTATAATTTCCCCAACTATATTACATTACTATCAATATATACCTAATCTCTTAATCCATTCAATTTTGTAAAGATCTATTCTTAAAATTCATTAAAAGCATCTTCTGCTTATTGAATTCTCTATTCAGCTTATTCAAGTTTTTAAAATCTTTCATTTTCTACTCCTATTTAAATTGTGGATAATTTCTCAGAGATCTTTTAGATTCTACCACTTGATGGTGATGCTTAAGGATCTAAATATTATCAATTTTATCTTATACATGAGACTTAGGATCTTGAATTGTACATTTGTAATTAATAATAATAATAATAAAATTTATTTATGAATTAATTTCTAAACCATTTGGATTTGAATTGTTTTATTTATAAATATAAATATATCATTTAATACAATCTGATTTATTTGTAAAAGATGTAAGCAAATAAGATCTTTTAAAAATAATAGATGCTTTTGTGGAATCTTTATCTCTAGATCTTGAAGTGAATAATACATTACAATCTGATTCTTATCTCTCTGTTTTACTTCTATGTTCTGATTAAGTTGATTCAACTTTAGATCTTATTTTTTTTAAACATAATTACTTTAAATTAGATTTACTCTTTTAATTTATTTTTAAATATTTACTTCAATTAATTTGTTAATGTTTTCAGTATTTATTTCTTGAACAGTACTTTAAGCTTATATCATTCTATTTGCAAATCTTTAAAGTTACTAATCTAAATATTCTTCATTATCAGTTTTATTCTTTTTATGAAATGAAATTGATGATTATGATTGTATTTTTATAATACTTGGAGTATAATTATCAAACTGTTTAGACATATGATACGATTTGTCTTTTAATTAAAATTTCATTTTTAATGTATCTGTAACATTTCTACTTGTTTATCCTAAAAACTTACAAGATTTCTTTAACAATTTGTTTCTATTCATTGGAGTTGAATCTTCTTCATTAACTGTTTTGTTATACAGTTTTTCAGGTAGTTTCTCTTTAATTCTAAATTAAGATGCTTTTAATTGATTAAATGCTTTAAATCTATCTAATAAAGTATGTTGACGTCTATCTGCTTAATTAAGTTCATGTATTAATTCTACATATTTAACACCATCTTTCTTAAAGTATTGCAACGGTTTATTTCTTTATCTTTATAATTATTCCTTAGCTTTTTATACTCTCTCTTTAAAATCAGCATCCTATACATTTAACCTATATTTTTTATTTAGTTCTTAATAGAACTTTGCTAAATTCTTCATCTATTACTTAAAATCATTTCCTAGCATCTTCTCGTTATTCTCTAATTATTATTAGATAGCATCATTTTCATAGTCTAAATTCAGTTATTTTTAATCTGCTATCGTATCCTTGTTTTAATAAAATACTTCATAACCAACGTTCTGCCAACCATTGATACATTTCTAAATGATTATTTTTATTAATACTTCTTTCTTTTACATGGGAACAAGAATTCTGCAAGTGGCTGGTCCATCCTATTCGATTGTTGTATCCCATTTACATATGCGTCTTTTTGCAAATTTCATGGCAACATTTTTATCACACTTTCAAATAAATTAGCATTTCTTACATGATTTAGCAGATATAAATATGTGGCTGCCTTTGTAGGAGATAGATAAATATCCTTTTGTTAAATACCTCCTAATTTTTAACAATCTCGGAAATATGGTGTCTTATTATTTTATTATGTAACATACTTCTTCCCTTTGTTTCATGTTATTAATTAATAAAAAATCATTTTTTAATTTTACAAAATGTCTCTTCTTGTATATTATTTTGAAGCATACAAAAGGACATAATTTTTAATAAAATATATTGATTATGAAATATATTAAGAGGATGGATATTTTTGGTGTTCATTACAAACAACAGATTTTTGTGGATGAAAAAGAATAAAAGTCTGTTCTAAGTGGAATTTGTTCAATAATGGTGTTAGCAGCAAGTTTTGCTTATTTTGTTTATGTAATGAATGAATGGTGGAGCTCTAGAATCTTACCAAATTCAACTAATTTAATGAAAGTATAGAATTACTCTTAAATTTCTTATAATGATGATCCCTTATTTGAGTTTTGTTATTGGAAGTATAGTAATGAATAAGCAGATCCATTTAGATTGTAGCGTAATATATTAATGCCTATTGGAATATACTTTATAGATGGTATTCCATAAAAGCCCTTTTCATTATTGACTGAAATACAAATCAATTCAACTTATAATACAAATCTTTTAAGGGTGAATAATCTTTCCTTAATTTAAAATAGTGGTTTTGATAGTTCTTTGAATTCCACTAGAGAATTAATGATAGCTATTATTCCATGTAATTCTACCCTTTTAATAAATGGTTAGGAATGTGCTTCAGATTAAGAGATTGAAGCATTCTTTACAAAATCAGTAAATTACATCAGTTTTTGGTTGAATCTAAAGTAGTATGATTCATATTCATAACAGTTTGTAATTGTAAAGAAACAATACTATTTAACTTTTGATTATCAAGTTTCACATTAGGGTTAATTAATCCTAACATAAACTTATGCTAATATTGATACTGGCATATTATTTACTTAATATCAATCAAAATAATATATATACAATGCTTAATTAATAACTAGTGCAACAAATAAGAAATTTTGGTCTACTTTACTAGGAGAGAATTCATTTCTTAATTTATTTATAAGATTAGATCCAATGTCTATTGATACTTAGATTGTTTATCCAAAATTAGGAGAAATATTAGCTTAAGTAGGATCAATTGTAAGTATGCTTATGGCTATTTAATATTTTCTAAGTTTTTATAATGAATAATTGTTGGATTCTACTTTTATTGATAAAGTCTTAGAATTCTACTTTCTTGATTATGCTGAATTGAAAAAATCTAAACAAAAATCAGATTAATTAATATGTAAAGATTTAATAGATCAAGCAAAAAAGAAATTGGCTTATACTAATATTATATATGAGTTATCAAGAATCTAATTATTTTTATTAAATCATTTTGGAAGAAATTAATTATTTTAAACACATTAATATACATTATGGGCAAAAGAAGATTTAAAATAAAGTAACTCTCGTTTTGCTTTAGATAATTTAATTACTGCACCTAAAGCTATAGTAAATAAGGATTAAAATCAATAACATTTTGAAAAGGAAGATTTCAATTTGTTATGTAGACGAAAATTAAACATTTTTTAAAATAATGAAGATTTAGTTAGAGTTTATTAAGATGTTGGTAATACATCATTATAATCTATTTAATTATGATTTATATATATATATATTTAATATATATTAAATAATATAATTCTTGATAATAGAATTTATAATCAGATAATCTTTTCTTCACTCAAATATGTGTATCCATCAAAAAGCATTTGGATTTCTTTAAATTTAAGTTATTTAAGTTATTCATTAAATAAAGTTTATTATGAATCACTTGTTTTTTAACAAGGTCTTGTTTTATCTTCCTATTTAGGTTGATATGGAGCTATCATAGTTTTATTCATCAATTTCTCCCATTAAAATGATTGAAATAATTTATGATTTTTTAATTCTTTTATTCCATTTTAATAACCCAAACGATTTTATTATTTTCTCATAAGTAATTTATTAGTAAATTCAATAAGATTAAAAGAATATTACAAATGTTCTTTTGCATTTAATTATGCCTATTTTCCTAACATTTCATCACGTATTTCTTTTTTTGTTCTTCCAAGATATGGTCTTTTTCCAGTTATCATTTCATAACATATTACACCAATTGCATAAAAATCAACTGAATAATTATAATTTTATTTGAGAATTATTTCAGGTGCCATATAACCAGGTGTACCACTAGTCTCATTACTATTTTCATTTTTATAAATTCTCGCTATCCCAAAATCTGTAATTTTTAGATATCCTTTACAATCTAAAACTAAGTTTTCTGGCTTGATATCTCTATGAATAACTTAATATTAGTTAATGTATTCTAATCCAAGAATTATACAAGCAATAAAAAATTCTATTAGTGTTTAAATACATACTTATCTATTCTTCTCTAAATGTTTTATTCAATAATAAATGATATCTAAGATCACCTCCAGACAGATAATCTAATATTAAATATAAATGATCCTTATCTTAAAATGACCCTACCATATTTATAATAAAAGGGTTCTTAAGTTTTTATAACAGTTATTTTTCATTCATAACAGATTTAACAGATTTTTTAGCTAAAATTCTCAATAGTCTATAAATTATACTTTGTTTTTTTAAGTTCTTTCATAGCATAAATCATTCTAGTCTTTTTTGATTCAACTTTCCAAACATTCCCAAATCCTCCTGTACCAATTATATAATGAAATATGAAATTATGCCTAAACTTCTATTATATTTTTTGGGTTTGTAACTCAGATGTTGCTTAAGTGCTATCTTAGATCTAAGTTAACATAAATATAAGATACCATAATAACAGTACTAGTTAAATTCAAGAGTGGTCTTTTGAGTGATTATGAATTAATTTCTTAGAGACCCATATAGAAAGATCTATTAAATCTTTAGTTTAGATTGGGACTATGAATTCGAGGTTGTGAAAGATTAATTTCAAATTATTTAGGCTTAATGATTTCTTTATATTGAAGTTAAACTCTTTTTGGTAATTTGGATCCAATCCTAGTGTTTAGGCATGATGGAGATACTTCTCCCATTGGGATTGTCCAATATTGTTTAATTTGGTTTGGCTCTCTTGATCAACGGAGAGCTTGAGTTTCTATTCAGAGATACTTTAACACAAAAGTGCTTTAAATAATAAAAGAATGTACAATTTTATATAGGATGATGAAAACTAGGACTTCTAAGTGAATTCAAATATGGTCTTTGATTGTTAATTTGTTTGCTAAGGTATGGATCAATGTATTATTTATATTGCATTAAATATATAAATATAGATTCATTTAATAGTTTACAATTTACTTTGAATTCATGACTATACAATTCCAGAATTAAATATAGTGATTATTTTATGATCAATGTATATATATCATTCTATTATGAGCTTTTAAATATTTTATTGTTTTCTAATAAATATTTAAGTTGTCTTTGTAATTTCAAAATACTATCTTATTTTTGATCGAATTTACTAATATAATGACAACCATCTTAATTATATTCTATCTCTGTTTCTAATTTATCATCTTAACAATATCATTATAATTATAACAGATCTATTCCATTTTTTGTATTTTTCATGACTTCTCTATTCTATTCTATATTATATTATATATTTAGATTATATCATCAATTCTTTTATATATGTTAAGCTTATTTAACATTAAAATAATCTTGTTCATGACTTAACACATGTTTAATGGTAGATTATCAATAAATACTTTAAGTGTTCTTAACACTGAATGTTTGTTTAACTATAGAAAATGTACTTACAACATGTTTAAATTCTTCTTATTTTTAATATGAGTAGATTTTCAGATATATACTATCAATTTAATTATATTAAAGATAACATTTTAATTAGATTTTACTTTATATATATACAACAACTTAGACTACATCAAAGATTATTAATTAATTTAAAATAATGAATGATCATCAATTCTAATATTGGCCAATTTTCTAAGAAAATGACTCGACCAAAGCTTTTTGGAATAAAAATCTTAAATTAAATCCTAATTCAACTATCCTTTCAGAATATACTATGAATCGAATCACTTGGAAATGTAATAAGCCTACTGAATATCAATTTCTATTGAATCAAGATGGCCAATTATTTTATAAACACAATAACAAACTAAAAGGTTATCTTCAACTTAATTATGATATCAGTCTTAAAATCATAGACCTCAAAATTTCTAGTAAAAAGTGTGATCTTGTACAAGTTATCAGAATCAAAAGAACCAAAGACATTTTCATTTATATTTGGAATCATGATTAGTAATATTATTAACTATCTCATCCATAGAAAATTTACATTTTAATTTTTTAAGAACCTATCTTAATTCTCATTTATCTAAAATTTAGATTAACTTTACACTCTCTCTGATGACATTGCTAAAGGAGGCTTTTCTAAAGTTATTTAACTTACTCCAAAAATCAGATTTCCAAATCAACCACTTAATTATGCAGGCAAAATTTATAATAAAGATGAACTCTTTTAAAAAAAGGATTCCTAAAAATTTTATTAATTTATCCGTTCAGAATGTCACGTACTTCGTAAATTAAATTCTCCTTATATTCTTAAACTCTATGAAATTATATAACTTGATGATATATTAAGTAACTATTAAAATATATATATTCATTAGTATTAGTAACAGAATATATTAAGGGAGGATCTTTATATTAATACTTAAAAGATAAAAAGAAGTTAAATGAAATTGAATCAATATCAATTTTAACTAAATTAACTAATGCACTTATTGCTGTTCATAATATTGGTTATGTTCATAGAGATATTAAATTAGAAAATGTTTTAATTGAGAAAGATAACCTTAAACTGATTGATTTTGGTTTTACTGAAAAAATTTAAAGAGACAGGTTATAAAATAGACAAGGAACAGCTGGGTATATTGCACCTGAAGTATTTATGAGATAACCATATGAAGAAGTTGGTGATGTATTTAGTTTAGGTGTTATATTTTATTCAATGTTATCAGGAAGAACTCCTTTTCGATCTAATACTTATGATGGATTATTAAAATTAAATAAAGAATGCTAAATTGACTTTTCAGAATCTAAATTTATTAATGTTAGTTAAAAAAGCATCCATTTACTTAAGGCAATGTTATAAAAATTACCAGAAAATAGAATTACTATGTAAGAATTACTTAATCAATTATAAACTTAAACTCTATTTTCTCATTCTGCTAATTTTGCTTCTACATAATCTATTATTGAAGGTTCAGTAGGAATAAGTTTTAATCATTTACAATCTAAAAATACACTTAAATCATTCTATTAATAAAGTTAATATTCTTAAAGTGAAAATTCCAGTCAATTTTCAGAATTTAAATAAAAATAAAAGAAAAGAAGAATTAAAAGTTAAAGTATGGATAAAAAAGGGTACTTTCTTAAACAATCTTCATTTAAACCCTCATTAAATAATATATATTAACTCAAAATTGAATATAGTTAAGAACATAATTTATCTAAAGATGATTAAGAATAACCAATCTAAGAAGAAAACCTTTAATTTTTATCATTTTCATATTACTAATTAAATAGATAAAAATTTGTGTGATATCTAATTTTCATAAATAGCAAAAGTCATTTTGATATTATAAATTCTTAAACTTGTTTTTAACATTTCCTAAATTATAATCATTAAATTCATTGAAAATGTTCTCATATAATTTGTTTTCTTCTAATTAAATATATATTATTACTTTTATACAATAAATATAATATTAATGAAAGTATATCTACAACAAAAGAATTCTCTTTAATCATTTAAATACTATATATTTCCTTTATTGTTTTAATTGTTGTATCATAAATATTTTATTCATCTTTTGTCTTATTATAATTAAAATCTTATTCAAAAATGTGACTTAAATTTATACAATTTCGAACTATGAAAAATCCACTATTATTAAAATTAAAAAAAATCGTTTTAAAGTTTTACGATAATTAAATAATATGATTTAAGTAATCATCACTGTTAACTTTACAAAAACTGCAAATCCTTTTAAAATTTTAACCTAATGAAGTTCTTTCATTTTTATCATATGATGCAGCTAAAAATAATTCAAGCATTTTTTTTTGATATATTGATTTAAGTTTTAGTTTAAACTAAAAACATAAAGACAGAATAGCTTATGATAATATTTTTATAGAAGAATTTGCTTATCTGATAAAGTGTATAAATAATCCACTTAGAGTTTTCTCATAAAAAACTTTGCAAATTAATTCAAAATCTTGTTAAGATTATAAAAATTGTAAATCTATTTAGTTATCAAAAATAGTCATTGTATCATAATTTTTAAGATCAAATAAATTACAAAAGTAATTTACTAATTCAGTTGAATTTCTATTGATATTTTTTAACAAGTCTTTTTATTTAATTTTATGAATTAGTTTTCTTGCAGATTTTAAAGTTATATAAGAAGAGGTATAATTATTCCTTTTCTACAATTCAAATAAATCAATAATTATTTAATTATTTTCACAACTAAAAGCTTTTTTATTAATTTTAATAAGTTATGATAAATTTGGAGAGTTTAAAAGTAATTACTTGCTTTTAATTTCTTTATTCTATAATTCTGGATAAATTTAATATTAAAATTTTTCATTTATGTTTACTCTTTAGAATTCATAATAAATGTTGGGATGATCAATTTTGATATCTTGCAATAATCGAAGTTAAACATAGTCAATTTATAATTAATCTATAGTAGTTGTTAAATGGCAATAAGGACAAGCCCATCTACTTTTAATGGATTATGAATAGAAAATTAAAAATGAATTTAAATCAAAACAATTTAAATGTTAACAATTTTTTCCTCGAACTGGTATTTACAACTATTAATAAGTAAGAGGATCTATTAAATTTATTGATACATCTGAATTAATATAAACATCATTTAAAGTTTCCTAATTTTCAATAGGTTTATTTATTTTATTAAAATAAAACATTTTTTATGATGTTATAATTTATTCTATTTAATCTTTATCAGCATCCATTATTTTTTATTTAATTTAATGCCATTCAATTTTTTTAATAAGCACTATTCCGAATAATGAATTAAACTCATTTTTATCTTTAAAAATAAGTTGAATATGATTTTAACCTGCAACAATTTAAGCAAAAGATCTATATAATTTTGAAGAATAATACACATGAGCAAAATCGTTCTCATCATATTTTATCTAATGTTTTTCATTGATACATATTTCTATATTATTACTTGGCCAAGCAAACAATTATTTCGGTTCTTTTATCTTTATACAAAATATTGAAAGGATTATGTTATTTTTTTTGATTTCATCAAAATATTTGTTCACTTCAAAAGTAAATGAAAATGATTATTCTTTTACTGTATTCCCAATCTTAAAGATCTTATTATTTTTGTTATTGAATCTAACATAATGCTAAAAAATAATGGTAATTATTTAGTATACTTCAATTTATTTAAATGGATTGCTAGCTTGAAATATACAATCTAAACACTTTTACTATAATGGTTATTTGTCTGTTATTTAATAATCATAGCATGGCCAATGGTTCTAACTTTTACAAATTATGCAGATAAAACTATCTAATGAATTTTATTATTCACAATAACACTATTTTTACATTTATTAATGAATAGAATAAGAATTTATTCATAGCGTAATCGCTACAATAGCATTGATGAAACCAAATTCAAATCCTCAACATATAGACCAATTCAGGAAAAAAATCTCTAATTGATAAATAAGAATACTCTCATTCTTTATATTAACAGAATTTGCAAATATATTCAAGAATTACAATAATATAAGAATGAAGGGTATATTAGAAATATTCTTAACAAAATATTTACATCAACGTCCAATTTTTAAGATATCTAAGAAATATTTAACATTCCTGTTGTTCATCTTAATCGTGATATATTACTGAATAGAACCATTAACTTAATTAATACTTTATAAATCAAACCCTCTTAATAAACTCTTTATATATCAAATTTTATGAAATGGTTTGCTTACTTCGATGAATTATTATATAACGAAATGGAAAAAATACATGAACATTATCTTTAAGGCATTTAAAGCAAAATTATTGATTAAATAAAACTTAATAAACACAAATAAGTTGAACTAAAGAGGACTTTAAATCCAAAAAAAAAAGAAATTATTTAATACATAAACTAATTTACTATCAAACCAATTCATAAATAGTTTAGTTCTGTCTAAAAAATTGAACATTTTGAGAATAAATATGGAGAATTTGAACTTATATCTTCATACTCCAGAAACTACGCCAAATAATTAGACAAAATTAATCTAGATCTTAATTAATTTTATTAATGAAAAAAATAGAATTTGATTTTATTCATGAATATATATATATTATATATATTATTATTATTTAATCCTTTCAGGGTATAACACAAAAAAAATAAAAATCAAACTCATTGTTATGAAATTCCTCATCTTCTTAAATTAATTTACAATTAATACATAATTTGCTCAATTGTCTTTTCAATTAACTTTCTATCATAATTATTTTAAAAAATTTTTTTCACTCAATAAAAGAATTCCTCTCAATCCTTAATCATCAGATGTTGTTATATAATTTATTGATAATTTAATCAATTCTCAACGTGATGGATGAATTAAGCCCAAGATAATTTAAAAATATAGTTTAAATTATTAGGTAAGTATTTAAGTTTTCTAAAATATTAAATTTCATATAAGCTGGTTTAATTTTATTTCAAATTAATTAATATATATATATATGTAATTATTAAATAATAATAATCATTTATTAATTTATTTTAAAATCAATTTTATTTATTCTTATAAACTTTATCTATTTACTATTTTAAGAGGTTTACATATTATCATAAATAATAATTGTTTTTATTAAATCTAATTTTATCATTTATTCAAATATTTTAGAATTTAATAATAATATAATTGAATCATCAAAAAATCATGTAGTTGAAATAAATTCATAATCTGAAGAAATCTCTGGAAATAAATTTTGTTTCTATTTCTCGCACTTAAATTTATGTTATAAAAATAAATGTAATTTAATTAATTAAATAGATCAAAAAATTTAGTACTTTAGCAAACATAAAAATGGTTTTTGAGCTATTAAAAATTTTAATATCCTCGTCTTCACATCAAAAAGGTTTAATTCTTAAAAGAAAACTTTGAAAACTATATACTGTAAAATTGTCATCTCCTTGTAAACATATGAATTAATTATATAAAAAAAATTAAAAGTTAAAAATACATTTATCATTTTTTAAGTATATAGTTTAAATCAAATTATAAAATTTATGTTTTTCTTTAGATTAAGATTATTTAGGAATTAAATATTGCTTAATATTTTAATAATTACCTATAAAATGGTTATCATTAATTGTTATATTTTTCGTTTGGTAAATATAATAAAGGTTTTTATTCATATTCAATTTGAATAAAAGTAATTTTATTAAAAATCTAAAGAATAAAAAGGTTGTTAGGCTATTAATTTGTAGATAACTTAAATTATTTAATATAATAACTAAAGTTTAAATTATAAATTAATCTTATGAATATGATATTAATAGATAATTAATTTTAATTTAATATATTAATAGCTGTTTTTATAATTCTAAAGATATGTACATTTCTTAAATTTAAACATTTTATATTTTATTTAAATAAAAGATAAAAAATATAATAAGTAATTAAAAAATATATGTAAGTAGTATTAATATAAAAGAGAAAATTGGATAAATTGAAATGATAAATGTAATAGATTTTAGAAATCCTTGTTATAATTTGATGTAAAAAGGAATGAAATGGATGTAAATAAAAAATTAATGAATTAATCAGAAGTAACAAACTATTTAACATAAATAGCTTAGATATTTGAAAGATTTAAATTATTATCAATGACTTTAGATGAATTTGAGTAAAAGTACATGAATAAATAAGGAGAAAGTAATGATGAAAAAGAAATAAAAGAGATAAAATATAATTTGAAAGAGAAGATAGATGAAATGATAGGAATGGATTATAATTAAGATAAGATAAATTTAGATGGAGTAACTAAGAGTTATTTTTGTAATGAATGTTAAAAGTAACTTAATTCAAGATCAGCGATGTTAAACCATTAATATTTTAAACATAATAGACCAAAAAGGTAAGAATATAATAAGGGATAGAAAGATAAAGATAAGAATATAGATGTAGATGATAGAATGGATGATCTGATAATATTATAATGATTATATTAGAATAATAATTAATATCAAAAAATTATCCCAATGTGATTATTAATAATTTAAATAAATAAAAAATGCCTTTAGAAGCAGCAGTAGTAGTTTTAGATAACTCTGAATTTTCAAGAAATGGAGACTTAGAGCCATCTAGATGGAATGCTCAATAAGACGCTATTGATTTGTATATAAATTTAGTAATTGATTCAAACATGGAAAGTGGAATGGGATTAATATTAGGAGGTGGAAAATAAGTAAGATTATTAATGACTCCTACAAATGATAGAGATTTAATTTTAGGATAATTTCATAAAACTAGATTAGAGGGTAAATGAATTAATTTTATTAATAGGAAATTTAAATTTTTCAGTAGCACTTTAATAAGCATCATTAGCATTGAAACATAGAATTAATAAAGCATAATAACAACGTATAGTAGCATTTGTTGCTAGTCCTATTGAAGAAGAAATTGATACATTAGTGAAGTATTTTAATATTTAAATTATTATTCAAGTCTTGCAAAAAGATTAAAGAAAAATAATATTGCTATTGATTTAATTAATTTTGGAGAATAAAATGAAGAGCATCTTTAAAAACTTAAGATATTCTTTGAAAATGTTTAAAAAGGATAAGCCTCTAAATTTATTAATATTTAACCAGGTATGAATGCTACAGAAACATTATTTTCATCATTAGGAAATTAATCAGACTTTTAAGCAGAATCTGGACAATAGTAATAATAAGGTGCTTAAGTAAGAACAGCTACATAATTTTCTGAATATGGAGGAATTGATCCAAATATTGATCCTGAAATGGCTATGATAATGAAAATGAGTTTAGAAGAAGAAGCTTAAAGATAACAATAATAGTTAGCATAATAATTATAATAATAGCCTTAATAATAATAATAACCATAACAATAATAATAATAATAATAATAATAATAACCCATATAATAATAATAATAGCCTTAAAAATAAGAATAAATTTAAGAAGAAAATGTAGAAATTGGTATTGAAGAAGAAAATGATTAATTATTAGAATAAGCTAGATTATTAAGTATGTAAGTAGAATAACCAGAATAACCTGAATAACCACAATAACCATAATAACCAAATTAGAATGCTTAATAGTAATAACAATAGGGTTAATTCACTTAGAAGTATTTCATTCTATTCATTTTAGTTAATTATTCTAAGATCCCAATTTCCTTAATGAATTATTAGATGATGTTAATAAGGATGAGGAATAAGAAAGTCTCCTCAAAAAAGAAGATGGCAATTCTAAGAAAGATTGATATAATATATATAATATAATGTATAAATAACTATTCAAAATTATCATATAATTTTTTATGAATAATTATATAGAAACTATTAAATAGTTATAGCTTACTATTTAATTAGCATATGATGAAAATAAAGAATTGAGTCAAAAATTATTATCTTATTAAAATTAATAAGACCCAGAATCAGATCTATAAATAACAAATTTATCAAAAACTGTATTGCTCTAACAATAACAAATAGCATAATTAAAATAAGAATATATTAAACAAAATAGAGTTTAATTTTTAGATGATGAATAAGATAATTAAATATAATAATTAGATTCATTGATAAATGATAAAGATATTGAGTTGAATAAATTAGATCATCTAATATACTAAACTTAATTTTAAATTAAAAATACACAATAAGAATTATAAGAATTGAAAGATATCTTAAAGTAAAAACAATAAGAGCAAATAAAAATCAATAAAAAAGCAGAATTAATGGAAAAGCTTATGCTTGATATAAGTGGAAAAGATAGTTTAACAATTTCATACATAAATGAAATAGATAAACTAAATAATAAATTGTAAAGTTTAGAAAAAATGACAAATGTCTAATCAAGGTTAACTTACTAGAGTTATTATAAAAATAATTGATTTTATAATTATTATATAACATTAATGATTAACAATGGAGGATTTAGACCAAGAAGATTACCAACAGCAACAAAAAGAGTTAAATTATCTTCAAAACCAAGTATAGATTCGTTAATGTTTAACAATATTAACAAATAAAGTATAATATCTGATTCTTAATTCTTTAAAACTTCAAGAAAAACTACTCGACCTTAAACAGCTTTATAATTACCTAATAAAGAAATATTATTTGAATTACCTTTATATTCAAATGATGAAGAAATAAAAGATTCTAAAAATAAAGATGTATATTATCATACAAAAATGAAATTATTTGCTAAAAAATATTCAACTACAATGCCAACTCATATGAGTACATAATAATCAATTATTAAATCTTAACCATTAATTTAATCTATTACAAAAAGAACAACTAAAACAAATAATTCTGTTAGTAAACCTGTAATGGAAGTTGTAAATTAATAATAAGTTTTACAGCCAACAATTATGAATATAAATTAGCTCTTCTCCTAAATATAATAAATTAGATAAGAACCTTAATTAATGTAATGTAGTCTAGATAATCATAAAACTGCCAAAAAAATATTACAAATTAATCCAGAAGAAATTAAAACACTTTATGAAGAATTAGCACATCTTGATGTCAAATTTATGAAAATGACAGCTGATACTGAAGCTTTCATTCATAATCTCTATGCTGATAAAAACAAATTCTTAAAAATTAAAGAAAATGTATTAACAGAACATTAATTAATATTTCTAATTGATTAATTAAAAATTAAAAGAGAATTATTAGAATAAGGTTAACCATTTGATAGTATAAATTTTGATGAAATTGATAAAATTGTATCAAAACTTATTTTTTTTGAAAGATTCACTAAATCTACAAGAATTAATCTTGTAAAGCTTGGTTAATATATTGAAGTACCTCCAGGTGAATATGTATTTCATTAAGGTGATTTTGGAGATAATCTATTTGTTATTTTATCAGGAAGTGTTGTTGTTAAAATTGAGAAGAAATTTAATCGATTTGGACCTGTAATTGAATAAGTTGTATCATCTCTCTATGATGGTTAACATTTTGGAGAACTTGCTATGATGGAAACTACATAAAAAGGTGCTGAAGAAGTTCTTGAAGAAAAGTTAGAAAATATAAATGTTAAATCACTTAAAGAAGTTAAAGAGTAGCTTATTAAATAATAATTATAAGATTTAGGATAATAAGATGAAGCATTATAAAAATAAAAAATTAAAGAATTATAAAAATAAAATACGAATATTATTAATCTTGTTAAAACAGATAATGTTAAGGAAAAACATTACGTTATGAATTTAGCTAATGATGACGAGGATGGATTATCCAAATCTAATAATATACAGTATAAAAAGGTTGATAAAACTTAATAAAGAAAAGCATCTATTTAAGCTAGTGAAACATGTCATCTATTGGCTATCAGCAGAGAAAATTTCAAAAATATTCTTATGGTTTTGATGTAGGATGAATTAGAATAAAAAATTAAAATGCTAAAATCATTAAGATTCTTTAAATAAATTCAACCTTTTGTATTAATACCATTAGCAAACTAGTTAATACCTTAAAGATTTCATCTCGATGAAGTTTTGGTTAAAGAAGGGGATTTACTAGAATATATGTATATATTATATAAAGGATCATGTAATGTTATAAGAACAATTAATACAGAAAGAATTAAATTACCAGATCACTTACGTTAAAAGTAAAACAGAAAATCATACAGATATTTCTAAGAACATCCTATCAAAATTACTAATAATGTACCTGAAGATTACTTATCTTGTTTGACACAAGATGGAGATATCACCTATAAAATACCTGATTATGCTGTCTGCAATAGTAATAATGGATATATTCAATATTAAAAGAGTTATATTTATAAAAAATTGTATCCTGGAGATATTTTATTTGGAAGAGTCTTAACAGGATTGAGATTAGAGGGCGATAAAGGCATAGATAGAGCAAGAATGACTATTGTAAGTTCTTCTAGTATTACAATTGTGTACAAAATTAGTTTAAAACTTTTACAATTTTGCCCTGAATTTTTAATTGAACATTTGACCAATCAACTTCTTATTTACAAAGAAATCGATCTTATTGAACCATCTGAATTAAATTAAGAAATTAAGCTTATCTTTACCAAAAACTAAAAAACAGCTAAAGATTAAGCTTAATTACTCTCTGAAATCGAAGAAAAATAAAGAAAACTAGACTTACAAGAATATTATAAAAGAAATAAACTAAGAAAACCCTAAAATGAAAAAAAATAGGATCAAAGAAATTCAGAATGGGAATAATTTAAAGAAGAAGTCTTAATTCAATAATTGTTGTATAATAAAGTCTCAAACTGATTAATTATAAAAATATTACAAAAATATTTCTAAAACCTTGAAATTTTTGAAACTACCTTATTATTATTTCATTCCAAAATATCCCTAAATAATATTATT